AGTAACCGCGTCCCCAGTCCGACAACGCCCCCAACCCAACCCAACCCTCTTCACAGTCCCCTCCGGCCCTCCGCGTCTCTGCTCTGCACTCTGCAGCAGCGCCAGCAGCAGAGCGGCCGCCTGCCCTGCCGGCCATGGCGCGCGCGTCGTCGTCGTCCCTCGCCTTGGTGCTCATCATCGTGGCCACCGCCGCTGCCGTGACCGCGCCGGAGGCCATCAGGGTGCCTGCCGTCGGCAACTGGACCGAGGAGCTGCGCGGGGCTGCGACGAGGCGGGCCCGGCAGCGGCACGGGTGGCGCTCCCGGCGCCGGGCGTTTGAGAACGGCCTCGGCCGGACGCCGCAGATGGGGTAAGTGCATACGGAGTATATATATATATTTACACTCGTCGTCGTTGCTTCCAGTGCTGCTATATCCCGCCGCGGCGCCATTACCGCCGTCCACCTGCTCTTCTTTCCCGGTAGCTTTTTGCCGCGCCATCGGCATGTTGCCAGTTGATCTGCACGACCAAACAAACAGTCCAAGAAAAAAGAACGTAAACGGTGCTCGGGCGGAGCCACCGATGCAAAACTGAATTTGGGCGCGGGAGTGAGGGAGGGAACGGACATGTCCTTGGCTCGCGTCGTAAGCGAGACGGGGTCAATCCCTTCCGTTTCCGCGCTCAGCATCAGCAGCTTTTTGCTTGGTGTTTTTGGCTTTCATCATGGCCAGCTCGACCCTGACCCAGTGTTAAAGCCCCTTTTTGTTGTTCCTTGCCTTGCTGCATGGCTCAAGTAGCGCCCCTTTCCTTCCGTGGCGTTTCGGCCGATAGATTCTTTTTTCCTTGCATGCGTGAGTGGCAGGATTTCCTTGCTACTACTCCCAGTACTAGTATAGTTTACTGTATTGTAATCAGCTAAGCTAGCTAGGACGCGGTCGAGCTGGTGACCTTCCGGCATGATTCAACCGCACAAGGCAAGTTGTCGACCTGCCGCTGTCTGTGGGTGAAAATAATTCACCGCACTCTCCATCACGCCGTGCATGACGCACGTGCTAACGTACTAGGCGTTGGCATCGTGTACTGCTAATACCAGAGGCTATCCCCGTCGCATCGAATATTTGATGCTAATTAGAAGTATTAAATATAGTTTAATTATAATTAGCTTATATTTAGTTTTCCTAATAAGCATCCGAACATATGATGTGACAAGGGCTAAAGTTTAGAGGGTCCAAACTTTACTGTGAAGCAAAGCATCTGTGTACTCGTATGCTTGCATTGCATCATACGTTTACTTTGCTGCTGTCATCAGTTGTTAATTGGACTTTTGGGTCTCCGGTGACGAAATGTGCGTGCACTGCTGTGTTATTTAGGTGGAATAGCTGGAACCACTTTGGCTGCGGTATCAACGAGAACCTCATCAAGCAGACAGGTACGCCTGCTCCTTCCCTACCCACTCCCCTCTTTTTCATTCTCGGCTGCTTTTGGTAGGAGTAGTCTTTTGCGTGTTCGCGGTCTCGGGGAGCGGAAAAGAAAAGAAGAGTGAAATGCGGGCGTATCCGCTGCATGTTCTCGGGGCGAGGTAAATGGAAGTGTTATTAGTGTGTGTGTCTATATATATATATAGCCCGCGAGATGTCGGGACCGTGCCGTCTCTCCCCTTCAGCTTTTGGGTGCACAAGAGTCACATCGGTCGGTCGGTTGGTCGGTTAGGCTCTCTCTCTCACCGTCTCACGTAGCATTAGCATCCTGTTGGTTCGGGTGGCATGTTAGCATCAGCAAATTCGGCGACGCGCTTGTGCACAAGAGTCAAGAGGATTTTTCTTGTGTCCCTGTCCGCTTTCAATCAATCGTCCTGCTTTAAAAGGACATCCAATGCAACCTTTTTTTTTAGCTTGTCTGAGTTACAACCAAATCAACAATCGGCCTGTTCACTTGGGCTTGTTTAGCTTATAAGTCGTATTTTTCATGGCTTATCAGCCAAACAAGCCCAGACGATCAGAAACAACCTGTTGTCAGTTCATATACTACCATCCAAACAACCTGTTGTCAGTGAACAAAACGCGGCCTGGTTAGTAAAAAGCAGGCGATCAGAACGCGGAGCACAAGGCTTGTGCAGGCAGAGATGCCCACCGAGTCTTGTCCTGTTGTGCATTGGGGACCGGCCATCGGATACAGCAAGAAGTTGAGTTCGCCAATCACCGCCGGGTCGCGACTGATGTCGGCCGGCGAAAATTATCTACTAGTATTTCCTGCAGAGTTGTTGGATGTTTGTTACAGCTTGCAAGCAGCAAGCTGAAGTGCAAATCATGGACCCAAGGAGGGAGAGGACAAACCAGCTTCACCGCACCGCACATTGCCAATTCTCCCTCCCCCGACTCTCTTTCCCGCTTTATGCCGTCCAATCCTCTAGCCGATCTTTATTCTTTCAGCGCCGGCCGGATCAGATCAGATCTGAGGTGTTTTTGCCTTTAACTCCTGCGCAGATGGTCTGGCCCAACTACTCAATACAGTTGGAGCACTGTGGCTCAGCTGAACGCTTGATTACTTCAGAAGTTCAGAGCACAGACCATATAAAAAAACACACTTCAGCGAGAGAAACAAAAATACCATGTGGGACTGTGTGTAGCTAAATTTTGTGGCAGAAATATGCAGAGAATATTTCATTTTTATTAAAAAGTGAAGAGTTACAAATAGACTTTCTATGTCATTAGTCATGACGACCCATACCCATAAGGCTCATGATCCACTGACGAAAGGGCTCCACGGATTCCTCCTCTTGTTCCTTGAGGCCTGAATTGAAAATTGAATGAATCATGGATCCCCACAACATGTGCTGGCGGATCTCTGAATAATTCTAGATATTGCATGTCTTTATGAATAAATCTAGACAGCGATCTTTGCAACCGGATACATTAATCGTAATCTTTGTGGTCCAATGGATAGGATAGCAAATCAATTGACCATTGAGTCACCATGGTCTATAGAATCTATGTGGTTGTTGATGGACGAAAGCATTGAGAAAAAGGGACGTCTGAGCCTGAGCCAACAAAGTTGGGTCAGACAAGGATTGGTACAGCCTAACCTAACCAGTTTCTAATAGGAGAGGGGGCAGATGCAGATCATGCACCTGCTCCTCTTGGACTGTCTCCATTGACCTATAACTGTGATTAGTACTGAACCAATTAGTCACCAGTTCCATGTTATGGGTGGTTGAAGCAGGACAAATGCCCCGTGATCACGTTGTTGTATTAGAATAATGAAAGGAGATGTTATGCTGTAAAAATTCTCCTATCAACCATATTCATTCATAAACTTGCCATCGTTACATACATATTTGGTTTGGAGAAATCGCGTGAGAACCTCAATAATTCTGCTCTAACAGTTTTCCTTTTCTTCAGCTGATGCACTGGTCAACACTGGTCTGGCGAAATTGGGCTATGAGTATGTTAATATAGGTGTGGATTGTGATCTAAAAGCTCATTTCATATGACACATAGTACATAAATTAGTCCTTAGCTGAAAGATTTCCCGTATCTTCTTTCAGATGACTGCTGGGCAGAATCTGACAGGGACTACCAGGTAAGAAGATCAAATTTGCCTACAGATGCAGCACGCTAACCACTAACCACCCAAATCCTTTTCAGCATTAACATCAGTGCAAGAAAAAAAAATGTGGAGACGAACTTCTAGGAAGCACAAAAGTAAATGGAGAGGAACTCATCAATAGCAACTAGCTAATAGAGAACTTTAAAACTTTTCTTTTATTTGCTAATGAGGATTTAAATACAGAACTAGTCTGATGGATTATTGCAGCTATAGTGAGTCATTGAAGTTTTTTTTCTTTTACCAACTTTTGTGACCCAGTAGCCAAAACACGCTCTAGTTTTTACTTTCCTCTCACAGGATGACCTGACTACCGGTCTGTCGCTATTGACAAAATTGCATTATTATTTTTGCGTTATTATTTCTCAGGGAAACTTTGTGGCAAATAGACAAACCTTCCCCTCTGGCATCAAGGCACTCGCAGATTATGTCCATGCAAAAGGGCTGAAGCTTGGCATCTACAGTGATGCTGGGTATGCTAGGCTGCTAGCTCTCAAAAATCAGTTTTATTATGATATATAAGTGCCAATTTATTCTCGTCTGGAGTAACTGTAATCCTCAATACCCAAGGAAAATAATAATTTGTAACAGTAATCCTTAAACTGAACTGCTACTATTCATGGCAGGACAAGGACATGCAGCCAAAAAATGCCAGGATCACTTGATCATGAAGAGCAGGATGTGAAAACATTTTCATCTTGGGTAAAATGTCTTTCTACTGCTTCCCTGATGACACTGCTAAATCAACATTTTCTGGTGCACTTCTAACTCTTCTTTTCTCAACTCCAGGGTATTGATTATCTGAAATATGACAACTGCAATGATGGTGGCAGGAGTGTAATGGAGAGGTAAACAAGAACGATACCTTAAAACTGCATTGTGATTGATGCATCTAGCATTGCATGCCAGATTGCTGAGTAACTTATGGCTATTGCAGATATACTAAAATGAGCAATGCTATGAAGACCTATGGAAAGAACATCTTCTTCTCGCTGTGTGAATGGTGAGTTTCCTCCTAGCAACACTTCTGTCCAGAGGGAAGAAATTGTTGCTGGTACTAATTTCTTCAACTGGGCCTCTTCTATATAGGGGAAGAGAAAATCCTGCTACCTGGGCAGGCAGCAAGGGAAACAGCTGGAGAACAACTGATGATATCGCTGACAACTGGGGCAGGTGCTGTTCATTTCATTTTAATCCAGTTGGATACTTGGATAGCTACTGAAATTGACAGGACTGACCATAGTTACCATGATATTTCAGCATGACATCTCGTGCAGACCAGAATGACAGATGGGCTTCCTACGCCGGACCTGGTGGGTGGAACGGTAAGAGTTCAGACATCAGACGATTCTGTTCGTGCCTAAACATTTGTGAAATTTTACCAATTGATAATAGATTCTCTTGTGTTTGAACATCAGATCCTGACATGCTTGAAGTGGGCAACGGTGGTATGTCTGAGGCGGAGTACCGCTCTCACTTCAGCATCTGGGCAGTTGCCAAGGTACTAAAATTTTTTTCTGCATGTTAACAGTGCTGTTGCAATGTTAAATGGTCTGCAGTTTCATCACTGGAAACCTGTCTTGCCTTGTGCAGGCTCCTCTTCTGATCGGGTGCGACGTACGGTCGATGAGCCAGCAGACAAAGGACATACTCAGCAACTCGGAAGTCATCGCTGTGAACCAAGGCAAGACTTCCCTTTCACATTCTTAACTATGATGGTTTTATGGCGTTTCAGTGTACTGATGCAACATATTTCTGAACAGATAGTCTAGGTGTCCAAGGAAAGAAAGTGCAATCCAACAATGGCTTGGAGGTAAATATTCCTCAACCTCTCCATTAGCAGTAGCACCTTCCAGGAAGCAGTTTGTTCCACAGCAAAACGACAAAAAGCCTTAGCATGGTTCTGATTTCTGAAGCTGAGAGTGCTGTGTTCTATTGTAGGTTTGGGCTGGGCCACTCAGCAACAACAGGAAGGCCGTGGTGCTCTGGAACCGGCAGGGCTACCAGGCAACCATCACCGCACAATGGTCGAGCATCGGGCTTGCTTCATCCACAGCTGTCACTGCTCGTGACCTATGGGCGGTACACTTCCTTTCATTCTTTCTTCAGATTGCATACTCCATAACATAATAATGTAATGAAGGTTGACTCTCAGACTGAGACTTCGCATTCCATTTTGTTGTGCAGCACTCATCATTCTCGGCTCAGGACCAATTATCAGCTTCAGTGGCACCTCATGACTGCAAGATGTATGTCTTGACGCCAAATTAACTTATAGAAGACATGAGTGGAGTCCATTGTGTGGGATGCAACCATTCGATCAAGATTCAGGGAAAAGAGTATGCGGGCAAGGATGCTAAGAGAAGGAAATAAGATATCATTTGGTTATAGTGGATTGGAGTGCAATGGAGGAATAATTTATAATCTGTAAGTGTATCTAAGGTGCTGTCAAATGTCAGTGCCTGTATTACTGAATGTTTGCAACGAAAGTTGCAGCAATAAAATTGGCTTGTCCACCACTCTTTACGAGCATGTTAACGGATTTCAGAGAGCCGGAGAAATATACAGACTTCTAAGCTTATACCATCATGGTTTCGTTTCGTTGAATATGGAAATGCTCTCCCGCTTTCGCCGATTCTTCATCCACTCAAATGGCACGACAGGCATCGCTCATTGCCATCTGAATTGAGGAGAGAATTTTCGTACGCTATGAAATTGTAACGGCAGGTTCCACGCAGAACGGAACCAAATGATGCATCTAACAAACTGAAGCCGTCAAGCCGGGATACCTTGATCTGGACGCTGGTGGGATAGCGGGCGGCGCCGAGCAGCTTCCTGGCGCCTGGCCGCGAACCTCTCCCAAACCCTGGCCACGCGAGTGCCAGACCTTAGACAACCTGCAGATCTCCCAGCTGCAGGCTCGGAGGGCGGAGGCTCCTGGTGGCTGGCTGGTACCCACAGCCTCTCCGCGGGTCAGATAGATCCTACTTAATTCCTGAAAATGGACAGCGAATCAACGGCCCGTCAACTTTGATCCCATTTGGTTTGGAAAAAAGAATATATTTTTCCTCCCACTAGGCCACAACTATCACAAAACTCATCTTTTTCTCCTTCGTCTCCCAAATTCAGACACATGACCCACGACTAATTTTTCTCACTGCACTGCGCTTTTTACAAATTTCAAAAGATCCCGAAGATAAATGAGATACGCCAATTCCAGATGAAATATTTATAGCTCATGAAAATATATCTAGATGTTTAAAAATAGTTTTATCTCTAGAAGAAGGAAAAATATGCAGAAAAATATAGAAAATTCCTAAAACATTTTAATCAAACGTGTTTTAATAATTTTGCACAACAAAAATATGAGATGCAACTAGCATGAATGTAGCATACATTAATGCTAAGTGCATTTATGCTATGCATTTATGATGGTTATGTATTATGTATTTATTGTGATAAGTTTTGAAAACTCGTTTTATAGATCGATTAGAATGTTTTAAGATTTTTTAGAATATTTTTTCATTTTCCTAGAGCTAAATCTACTTTTTAAAGCATCTAGAGATATTTTCATGGGCTCTAAATATTTCATTTGAATTTTGTGTATCCCAATCTATCTTTAGAATTCTTTCTAGAATTTTAAAAGCTTAGAGATATTTCATGTGGTTTAAAAAACTCGTCAACTATTTATCGATTTTTTAGCTAAAAAAGTTAACCACCTTCATAACCACTCAAAATCAGGACATAAAGGTAATTTAAATGGGTTTGAAAGTTTAAAGGATAAAATATCTGATTTTAGAGTTTGAGGAGGAAAACAGACTATGGTGATTTATAACAGATTACCCAAATCAATTTAGCCCACAACCTTCTTAGTCTGTTTCCCTCCAAACCAAATCGGCCCAATAAGATAAGCAGACCATAAAAACGGTTTTGGCCCAAACCACTACCTGTTTTAAGTTTGCTCCGGACTCTATGCCGGCATGCTGCAACCCTGCCGTTTCTTCTCCCATTACCCCCAGCGTGCCGTCGCTGCCGACCTAGGAACGCCGGGTGCCCAGGTCTTCTTCGGGCCTTCACCGGCGACGGGCACCACCAGGTACGCCCACCCCTTGGTCTTCCCTTCCTGCTGTGCGAAACCGAGCACCCAAACCCTAACTCAGGTGGTGTTTGGTTGCCTCTCCTAAATTTTACTCGCTCTCCCATCGAACGTTGGACACATGTATGGAGTATTAAATATAGACTAATTACGAAACTAATTACATAGTTTGTGACTAATTTGTGAGACGAATCTTTTAAACCTAATTAGTCCATGATTTGACAACGCGGTGCTACAATAAATATGTGCTAATGATGGATTAATTAGGCTTAAAAAATTCGTCTTGTTTAGTACTGACGGATTATATAATTTGTTTTTTTATTAGTATCAAACACCCCATGCAACATCCTCCCAGCACACTTCATAAATTTTAGTTACCGAATCCCAACACCACCTTACTATTTGCAATCGGATCTGATCTAGTTAAAGTGATGTATGTATTATGCGGTTATGCCTACTAACTTTGAGTCCTCAGCAAAAATTTCGGGTGTACATGTGTACACCCATGTCCTTTACAGGGTCTGCCCTTGGTTGATGCCGTACCACACCACATCCGTTGATTGAAAATCATGTTATTCCAATTTTTCTATACACCATAAAGTGGCAACAGTGTTTTTGAACTCATATTAGCATTTTTCTTCTTCGCTTAGCTCAGCATCTGATGCGAAATAACTGCCAATATTTACACAAAAATAGAACAAATTTCATCCTGAATAGCTTTACAGCTGATGCCATTTCAGTACAAAAAACACAAAACTAAGAAATTTGAACGAGTTAAAAGTTAAAAACACCTATTTAGTCAGCAATTTATGATGGGAAAGCAACCATAGTCCATACAGTTTCAGATTTTCAGATTCATGGTGCAAACTATTATTAGGTATTTTAAGCTTCTCCATTTGTGGGATGGGATTAACATATATATACAATACAAAAGATTGGTCACTGCTTTTTTTTTTTTTGTCTCTATGCTAACTTGCAGCAGCATGTATATGTAGCATATGCTTCAAACGAACAAGGACAAAATGGGTTCTTCTGAGGATGACTTCACCCCACTGTCTGAGTTGGCCGTTGGAATGAACAAATGTACAGTCCGAGTGCGCGTATCGCGGCTGTGGGAATCCTTCAATCCGAAAAATGACATATCGTTTGGCCTTGACTGTCTTCTGATTGATGAAGAGGTGATGCATTCCCTACCAAGTTAAACACCAAATGGCTGATCACATTTCTTGCTACTAATGTTAAATTACCCTCCTTTGAGTTTTCAATACACTGATTCTTCCACTTGTTTTTCACTTGTAGGGTGAAACTATGCAGGCACGTGTACGTCGTGACGATATAGACCAGTTTGAAGAGCAGCTAATTGAAGGGAAGGTCTATGCCCTGTCGTATTTTACAGTTGATGATACTGGGGAAAGCTACATGACCTGTAGCAATGAGTTCACTATGTACTTTGGAAGGCAGACAGTGGTCAATGAGATAGAAGGAGATATTGATTCGATACCCCTCCACAGCTTTGAGTTCATTGATTTTAAGAATCTACATTCTAGGTGCGACAATACCATACGAGCAGGTAGATTCTTTTGGAACTGCAAATTTGATCAGAGTTACTGCCACATTTATATCTCTTTTTTTCACCCTTACATGTGCAGATATAAATAATGCAGATGTTCTTGGCCACATAGTTGAGAAATAATGCATATGTTGGGGGTCTGGAGGAGGTTGAGAAAAAATCCCGCACTATAGAAATTTGCAATGCCACAATTCAGAATTTGAGGTAATTGAATACAGTTCTCCTTTTTGGATGATTGATGTCCCTTGATAGCTCCTCACTGCTGGAGTTACCGTTTACAGTGGAAGGAAACTGAGTGTCACATTGTATGGAGATATTGCTTGCGGTTTTGCTGAAGAAATGCTCGAGAAAGGAAAAAAAGCCTCAGTTGTTGCTGTCTTTGCAGGGATGCCGTTGAAAGCTCAGATTCAGGTTAATCCTTGATCCACCCTTTCGTTGTCTGCTTCTACTATGCAATACTGTCAAATTATATATCTTTATTTTCTTGCAAAACATTAGTCTCTATCATTTGATGCAACCATAGTGTGTACTGAGATATTCTGGTGCCACTTGTTCTGAAGTCATGATATTTTGTGTTATAGTTTGCTCTACAACATGTTCGAAGTACTATCTAGATCTGGAAATACCAGAGGTTCAAGAATTCCGTGAGAAGTGAGTGGACTTCATAAGTTTGTACCTACATTGATGATTGATCTATGATGTAAGCACATGGCTAACTTGTTCCTGTGCATGCAGTCTGCGCATTCAGCATGAAAGCCCAATTCCAGAAAAAAGCCAAGCCCAGAAGTTAGCTTAGAGTTGGCGAACAGTTGAACAGCTAAAACGCCTCAATCCAAAGGATTATGACGAGGTTAATTAAGAGGCTGCTCTTCGCATGACATGCAAAGCCTATCTGTTTTACTCACGTACCTGTCTTCACTTGCAGGATACCATGTTTCTGTGCAGAGTCTCCCTGATAGATATAGACTGCACCAGTAAATGGTGTTATCTTGGATGCGATACCTGCCAAAAGTCAATGTACGGGGCCCCAAGAAAATACAAGTGCAGCCGATGTGGCCCGATTAAGAGGCCAGTTCACTGGTATGCTGCCATTTGTTGCTCAAATGATCCTCAGTTCTAATGGTTGCTCAATTTGTTATTCACTAATTACCACACTGCTGTTCTGGACACGCAAGGTACAAGCTGAAGACGACGGTGAAAGATGCCACAGGCACAATGAACTTGATGATCTTCTGTGATGTGGCGGAGGAGCTGGTTGGTGTCTCTGCGGAGGAGCTCGTTGATGAGATCGAGGATGAGGAGGAGTTGTTCACCCTGCCAGATAAAATCGAGGATCTTCTTGGATCGACCCACACCTTCCAAGTATTCGACAAGGATCTAAGCGGGAGCTTCTTGGTATATTCAATCATGGACCATGATAGCGTCCCAGTCCCTTCTACAACCACTAGTCAAGGCAACGAGGAGAGCAACGCTGTGACGGGAGAAGCAAGGTTGAAGTCCACTCGACTCCAGAAGCCTAACAAGCGTCTGCGAGGGGATGACTGGATCAACTAACTCGTCGGGCCACATCCAGAGTTCAGACACTCTGTGGCTCGTTTAGCGTACCTTAGGTTAATGCATCCTCTAGGAGGGGTCCTGTATCTACTGCTATGTGCTGTGACTCGATCTGGTGTCAGTGCTAGGTAACAGACCTTTAACTTCTTTAAGAATGCTGTTTATCGTACCATTATTAATGCCAAATGTGCTTCGCGTTAAGTGGCGTGCATACCTGGGCATCGGGCCGGCACGGTCACGGGCCGGCACGGCACGATGGCTATCGGGCCAAGGAGGCACGCCGTGCCCTGCGGGCCTGGCCTTCGGCCCAGGCACGGGCCTGTGGGCTATTTTTCGTGCCGTGCTAGCCCGTGAGGCACGACAAAAATAGCAGGCCGTGCCAGCCCATAGCCCGTTAAATCTAAAACACCTCCAAATAAACATCTCAATCCATTTAGGGTGGCTGTGTCCCGCGGGTGGCGTCATCAAACACCGCAAAGGGGTCACGGCCGTCGTCGTCGTGCTCCGGGGACAGCCCAGCCGCGACCAAGTCATCGTCGCCAGATCTCGTGGAACATGGCACCGCCGAAATGCTCGCTGGGTCACACGCCATGGGGCCCTCGGCCATGCGGACGGTGAACTCCAAAGACCGTTCTCAACGCGTGCTGCTCTGGGCGGCTTGGTCATGGCATTGTATTGTCGTCGTCGCAGTCACGCCAAGGCTAGTTGACGACGAGGCATCGGCAGCAGAACTCGCAAAAAAAAAAAGAACACAAAAGAAGAAAAGGATGAGAAAATGATCCCAAAAAATGTAATCAAAACACCGAGAAACGATAGATCTAGGGGCTAGGGTTAGGGTTACGAATGGGGATGGACTTGCTCGCGAACCGGAGCCGGATGAGAAAATGATCCCAAAAATGTAATCAAAACACCGAGAAACGATAGATCTAGGGGCTAGGGTTAGGGTTACGAATGGGGATGGACTTGCTCAAGAATCCGGAGCCCACACGGGAGAAGACCGGGGCCCACACAAGGGCAAGACGGATTAAGAAGGACGGCAAGCGACGCGGAAGAGAGATGGGGAGGCGGACTCACATGTTCATCATCGACAAACGAGAGGAGAAGGAGTAAAAGGAAGACGGAGAGGGACCGAGGGGAGTGGGTAACTCGTGGAGAGGTGATGGAGCGGCGACGATATCACCCGGATCCAAGGACGATTTGTCAGACCGATGGTGAAGATGGATCGACGAGAGGAGGCGAGTGACGACGAGCGACCGAAAGCGGGTGTCGAAAGTGGACCATGATGCGGTTGGGAGGCGAATGGGGTTAGGGTGGGGGCCACGGGGGGTCAGCGGTTATATGGGGAGCAAGGGGAGGAGGCGAGGAGGGGGGGGCGTTCTGCGGGGGATGACTGGCTCAACTGCTGCTGCGGGCCACGGGCGTTCAGACACTCTGTGGCTCGTTTAAGTGCCTTAGGTTAATGCATCGGCTGCACCCCGTCCTGTATCTACTGCTATGCCCATTGACTCGATCTGGTGTCGGGCCGAGCTAGGGCCAGGCCTAAATAGCGGGCTCCGTATCGGGCTCACGGGCTCGGGCTTTGTGCTTCGCGTTAAGTGGCGTGCTTTCTTAGCGCCTGTGCGACGTGGTGCTCATGGGTTTTATAATCTGGAAATATTAATGGTAGAGTATTTTGCTGGCAGAGTATTATACAGTAGCAGTCTGGCAGAGTATTTTGCGTGTGGAGATGTTACTACAACAAGTTTCTAAGAATTTTCTAAGATTAAATAAAATGTTTAGTATTTTTCAGTACAAGTTTTTTAAAATATTTGGATAATTTTTTCAAAAGAAATATTTTTTTATTTTTTTGATAAAGTTTAATTGTCCTTCCTAAATTATCGTGAAAGTCAGATTTAGTAGTGCTACATATGATGGTTGATGTAATCACTTTTAAAACCGTTTAGAAGGTAGTTTAAAAAATTCACGACTCTAAAAATCTGATGTCAAATAGACTTTTCTCAAACAGATTACCCGAACTAAATCAGCCTACCAACCTCTCCAGTCTGTTTCCTCCCAAACCGAATCGGCCCAGTAAGAAAAACAAACCATAAAAACCGGTTCTGGCCCAAACCATTACCTGGTTTAAGTTTGCTCCGGACTATAATACGCCGACACACTGCCGTTTCTTCTTCCATTAACCCCCAGCGTGCCGTCGCTGCCGACCTAGGTACGCCGGGTGCCCAGGTGAAGATCTCCACCGGCGACGGGCACCACCAGGTACGCCCATCCCTTGGTCTTCCCTTCCTGCTGTGCGAAACCGAGCACCCAAACCCTAACTTACTATTTGCAATCGGATCTGATCTAATCATGTGTTATGCGGTTATGCCTACTAACTTTGAATGCTTTGCAAAAATCGGGTGTACATGTGTACACCCATGTCCTTTACTGGGTCCGCCCCTGAGTAATGGCATATCACATTGAGATATAATCACATTCGTTGATTGGAAATCATGTTATTTCAATTTTCCTATACACCACATAGTGGCGGCAGTATTTTTGAACTCATATTAGCATTTTTCTGAAGCTGCCAATATTTACACAAAAAATAGAACAAATTTCATCCGGAATAACTGCATAAATGATGCCGTTTCAGTAAAAAAAAAAACTCAGAAAATTTAACGAGTTAAAACTCTTGTTTAGTCGGCAATTTATGATGGGAAAGCAACCATAATCCATAAAGTTTCAGATTCATGGTGCAAACTATTATTAGGCATTTTAAGCTTCTCCATTTATGGGATGGGGTTGACATATATATACAATACAAAAAATTGGTCACTATTTCCTTTTTTTTTTGTCTCTATGCTAACTCGCAGCTGCATGTATATGTAGCATATGCTTCAAGCGAACAAGGACAAAATGGGTTCATCTGAGGATGACTTCACCCCACTGTCTGAGTTGGACGTTGGAATGAACAAATGTAGAGTCCGGGTGCGCGTATCGCGGCTGTGGGAATCCTTCAATCCGAAAAATGACATATCGTTCGGCCTTGACTGTCTTCTGATTGATGATGAGGCCAAGTTAAACACCAAATGGCTGAGCACATTGCTCGCTACTAATGTTAAATTGCTATCCTTTGAGTTTTCAATACACTGATTCTTCCACTTGTTTTTCACTTGTAGGGTGAAACTATGCAGGCACGTGTACTTCGTGACGATATAGACCAGTTTGAAGAGCAGTTAATTGAAGGGAAGGTCTATGCCCTGTCGGATTTTACAGTTGATGATACTAGGGAAAGCTACATGACCTGTAGCAATGAGTTCACTATATACTTTGGAAGGTAGACAGTGGTCAATGAGATAGAAGGAGATATTGATTCGATACCCCTCCACGGCTTTGAGTTCATTGATTTTAAGAATCTCCGTTCTAGATGCGACGACAATAGCGTATTAACAGGTAGATTCTTTTGGAACTGCAAATTTGATCAGAGTTAGACCTGCCCCCGTACATACGTGGATATAAATTACGCAGATGTTCTGGGCCACATAGTATATGTTGGGGATCTGCAGAAGAAGGTCGAGAAAAAATCCTGCACTATAGAAATTTGCAATGCAACAATTCAGAATTTGTGGTAATTCAATACAGTTCTCCTTTTCGGATGATTGATGTCCCTTGATAGCTCCTCACTGCTGGAATTACCATTTACAGTGGAAGAAAACTGGGTGTCACATTGTATGGAGATATTGCTTGCGGTTTTGCTGAAGATATGCTTGAGAAAGGCCAAAAAGCCTCAGTTGTTGCTGTCTTTGCAGGGATGCACGTTGAAAGCTCACATTCAGGTTAATCCTTGATCCACCTTTTCATTGTTGGCTTCTACCATGTAATACTGTCAGATTATATCTCTTTATTTTCTTGCAAAACGTTAGTGTCTATCATTTGATGCAACCATAGTGTGTACTGAGAACTGAGATATTCTGGTGCCATTTCTTCTGAAGTGATGATATTTTGTGTTATAGTTTGCTCTACAACATGTTCGAAGTACTATCTAGATCTGGAAATACCAGAGGTTCAGGAATTATGTGAGAAGTGAGTGGACTTCATAAGTTCATACCTACACTGATGATTGATCTATGATGTATTAGTACATGTCTAACTGGTTCGTGTGCATGCAGTCTAAGCATTCAGCAAGAAAACCCTGTTCCAGAAAAAGTCAAGCTCAGAAGTTAGCCGAGAGTTGGCGAACAATTGAACAGCTAAAACGCCTCAATCCAAAGGATTATGACAAGGCCGGAGGAGTGCGAGGGCTTCCACTACTGGGTGTACTGTAAGGTTGATGGCCCCCCGCTGATACCAACTCGCCCATCACATGGGGTGCGTCCTAAAATCATGATCAATTGCTCACAACATTAGGGACGTCTGAACTTGTCACGAGCGGGTTGGCTACTTTCCTGCACGTGTTCTAGTGATGGCAAAGTTAGTACTCAGTTAGTGGGAACCTAATTGCTAAAAAATAGTAGGAAATGCGTGTAGTTAGTACCCCGGGGCTGGCGCCGTACCACTCAGGGTCAGCTGTAACCTCTCCTAGTAAGTGGGTCATGGCCTAGTCCAGTATGGGTCTGGTCGTTGCGCCAATTGAAATACAAATGTTTCAGCTCGTTGTACTTGTTCTGGCACCGTTTCTTGTTGTACCCGAGCCTCATGATTTCGTTGAAGCCACGAATGACAATGGTCCACCCTAGTGAGGTTGGCGAAGTGGTGTTCCAGTGACAGAGGTCTTTCTGCTTGTTGATTAGGTCAAGAAGCAGAGAGCAGGTTCTGTCATCCCAGTTAGCACGTTCCTGGCCCATCTGATGCAAGGATCGACATTCGAAGGGATTATGTACATGGATGCATATCTTATGTCATATGGAGGGTAGTTCCAGTACGCAAAGATGAGAATGGGCGACGGAAAAGAGAACTTGCCTTTCCAAACCGTTTGCGGCGTTTTCCCCGGAGGTGGTACTGCCTGGCTGCAGGTGGAGAGCACGACGAAGTCGACGACGCTGCCAGTGTGGATAGCCGTGTGCCCCAGCGGATGAATCGTCGATGTAGTCTCTGCAGCGGCAATGTAGAGGTCATTGTGAAGTCAAACGATAAAAAATGCAAGAACAGTAGGAGGTACAATCTAGTACAAAAATTTGGAACACGGTTTGGTATGTACAAATAGTGTATCCAGTAGATCTCATGATACGTTACATTCAACAGAAAATTTTAAAACTTACAGAAATGGCAGTTATGTTGTTCAAACATAGGATATGGTCTCACATAGAACAAGGGTAGCAAAACATTTTGGATCTGCACAGTAATCAAGCAACTTGACCTAAGATGGAAAAATGACATGACACCACCCAGTTCGAAGGATGTTCACATATGCAGATAATAATTTGCAATTTTAAAGTTAAACATGCACAAACATTTAGCGACCCATGAAAATTTAGCAATCAACAAATCAGTGTTTCTAATTTATATATAAAAAAATCAGCAAAGCACAGAATCTATATAAGTGCTAGAAAGCATGGACATGAAAGAATGAACCATGTTTACTGTAATAATTTAAAAACTAACTGAAACAGCATAATCTATTTATAGGTAAAATGGGAACAGCAAATTTTTTTACAAGAACCATTGTTACCACTCACCAGCAAAAGGAAAGCAGATCAACATATTGCCAGCTCAATCCATAAATCAAGCAAACTAGCCAAGAAAATAATGGCATGCATTCTATACATGTAAACTTTGCAAGCAATAATAATTGCAAATTTATACTGTGGAAATACTTTCAAACTGAAGCATTGTATGTTGGTAAGCAAATTGCCCCACAGAAAAGTATATACAAATATCAAGGTAATTATGCTCAGTATCAGCACAATGATCAAGTTAGGAGTACAATCTAATGTGAGGGTGACATTTGATACTTGTTGGCAAAAGAATGGAGTAATGGATGTCGTTGTCGAATCTATGAGTCATACTGACCTTATTTGATAATAGAATCAATGACAAAACCAAGCAAAAAGTTAAATCTGGTCAGCGTAATCAAGATGAAAATAACTAGGCCGTGAAGCTCAGCTCCACGAAAGTAAGGAATGGTGGATCCAGAAAACCTACAAAATGGCGGCTCAGATCCGGGAAAACAAGAAGCAGAGACCGTGCACCGCAAACCCTAGATCCGAAAAACCTACAAAACGGCGGCGGCGTGGCTTGGGTTTTACCTTAATGCGGCAAGTCAGCCGGGTCGTGGCAATGGAGGCGGTGCGGCGGGGGGAGAACTGCAAGAGGAGCGCCTGCAGGTCAGATCCATACAGGTGCTACGCGGTGGCATTGAATCGAGAATACCTTGCTGCTGGCAGTCGGTGAGGACGAAGGCGGGTTGGGGAGGGAGGCGCAGATCAACGTCAGCTTGGCTCTCGCCGGCGAGGTTCCGCAACACGACGTAGAGAGGTGGGCGGGAGCCAAGCCGCTCACCACCGACGGGGCCCGGCTATGCGGCGCAGACGACCGAGCGGCGCCTATGAGGGGAAACCCTAGCCGCTGACACGAAGGGGAGAAGATGAGGGACGGTGCCGCACACTAGGGGTTTGGTGGCTTATAACCAGCCGTTTGGCTGGGGTTGGGCTGTCGAATGGCTGGGCTGATAAGCCCAATACCAGCTAGCCTAGCCAGCCACATTCAGCCCTACCGAATAGGCTGCCTCTCCTTCTCACCCGGTCAAGCTCGCTCCCCCCTTGCCTCAGCCGCATAGCCTCCCCTTCCTGCGCCCCAGCCCGGCCTCCTCGCGCCTTAGGCCTAATTCTCCATGGCGCACAGCAGCTGGCCGGCCCAACGGCACCCGCAAGCCTAGCATACGTGTGCGGCCCAACTCGGGGCCCGCCAGCCACGTGTCCCTGCCCAAACCCTAGTGGGAGCACTCGCTCTCCTAGCGCCGCCGCCGCTTGGTGGCAGACCACGAGCACCCGCGCCACAACTGCTCCGCCCCACGATTGTTGCCACGCGTCCCTGGCACGGACAATGAAAATCACCGCTGTTCACTATGCTCGTGACCTCCGGGACCCTAGAATCCATGAGTATAAATCAGGGAGCCGCCACTCCTCATCCCCATCAGCCGCCGCCACTTTATTCCCACTCACTGCTCTGCTCCGTGGACGCCGCATCGAGCCAGGCCACGGGCTCACCTTGGCCAAGCCCTGCCGGCCGCGGAGGACCACGGCTACGTCTAGCTCCACCCCGACGTGCCCCTGCTTCTACCCATGGCCAAGCCTCCACCGCCATGCACCAAGCCCGAGCGCCTCTACTACAACTGCTGTCAGGGCCTCGGCTCTACTACAATCGCGTCGGGCGTGATGCAGTCAACCATGACCACCATGCCTTGCCTGTCTATGGCACTGACGACCATGCGACCTCGCCATGCCTCCACCAGTAGCCCCACGTCACTAACATTGATGAGCTGCGCTCCTGCCTTCCTCGGTCCGAGCCCACCGCCAACCTTTCCCTGCACCGCGACCCCGTGAGGGAGCCCCAACCACGACGACGCCGAGCTCCACTGCCTCCACGAGCCTGCACCGCACCGACCATGCCTTGCCTCTATGCCTAGGACCATGACATAACTACGTCCCCCATCATGTAGCACCACCTCGCCGCTCCACGACCACGCCGGAGCCACCGGTTGTTGCTGTTGCCGTCAGTTGTGCCCCGGTGAGCTTCTGCAGTAGAAGCCAACACCCGAGCCTCGGACTGCTTCACAGCAAGGGTAATCCCCCTCCCTAACCAAGCTCCTCCCATTGGTTTTGCCCATGACCCTAACCATTACCTACCATGAGCCCAAGGTCGTGGCTTTATAGAGCTGATTGTCGCACCGGAGTTGCAGAACCCAGTGCAAGGAGCTGCAGGACCTAGACGCCACGACCACCGATGTATTGGACCTGCAGAGGCACTGTCACACCTCGCTGGAGGATAGCAACCACCACCGGAAGACCATGCCTTGCTTTTTCCTCGGCATGGCTGCCCCGTTCTGCACCGCCGGAGCTGCGACGTCACCCGGACGCCCGCTGCCATGACCAACCAGCAGCAAGCGGCAGCCGACCACGAGTGGCTACAACAAGCCACTGCTGGTCAGGGCTTGCTGCCGCTGGCCGTAGGAAGCCCGGACGCCCCGTAGAGTCCTCCACCTCCAAGGTCGAACTTTTGAAACCCGTCGACGCCATCCTCGACGTCGACAAAGCTTCCGCTTTTCATTTCATTGCATACTTATCATGCATACTTGTCCATATACATGATCTATCTATCTATGCCTGTGCCATGCCTTCGTGTTAGTCTATCTCATATGCTATGGTGCCTATCTCTTGTGCTGTGGAAATGTGCTACTCCGGTCGTCGTTTGTGTTGTTGGTCTATGGTGTGTTCATGTTGATTGCCTATGGACCGAGACTTTGAGCCGGTTGAGGGATTGTACCTCGTTCGAACATTTTAGTTGTGGGTTCGTCCCGCCGTGGCTGTGATGCCGAGTGTCGGTGTTTCGAGTTACCACCGACAAGTAAATTTCTAGTATTGTGCGTCTGGCTCGGATGGTGTGCTTTAGAGGACACGAGGTTTATACTGGTTCGGGCAGAAAGTCGCTACGTCCAGTTCGTCGCTGCTGCTTGTGTTACTAGCACTAAAAGTTTGAAGTAGGGGTTATAAACGGGCGAGGGAGGGAAAGGGTTCCAAGTCTCTGGTGGAAGGAGTGGGTGGGTGCTGATAGCTCGATTGTTGCTTAGTCGTGCGTTCATGTCGTGCTCTTGTGTGGATCTGATCGGATTGGTCGATGGGTCAATCCGGCTTGAATCGGATCCCCTTCATGGGGCGCCCTCCTTCTCTTTTATAGGCCAAGGGAAAGCGCGGGTTATAGCCGAGGAAAAGAGAAGAACGAGAGACATAAGGCTTTCAGGATCGCCGGGTCCTTCTTCTCCTTCATGCGGGTCCCGCCGATCCTGTAGACGTCAACCGGGATGGATCCACGTCGTGGCCCTATTCATCACTGACGCCATGCACATATGTTATCTGCCGGTCATGGCGTCCCATTCCATCCCAGCGGGCATCATGGTGAACTGACGCGCCTGTCAGCGTTCGTACGAGGGTTAGGCACAACAGCACCGACACGCCCGACGCTGTTCTTGATGTGAATCCTCAGGTATGGCCCGTCATGGCCACGGGTTACATCAGGGCATGCCGGTCTCTTCCTTGGTGTCAGAGTTTTGACCCAGGCCCATACGCTTGGAACTAGAGTGGTTGGCAGCGGTATGGGTCCCCACCGGGCTAGACGGAGCCCGCACCCAAGGGGTCGGGCGAGGCAGAGCACAAACCCAAGGGTCAGGCGAGGTAGAGCACAAATGAAGCACACAGTTTTAAAGACAAAGCCAGATACACACTATATGTGAGCCCAGGAAGTCAAATCTCACATATAGCCATAAATAAGGATAATATCAAAAGACAATACCTATTACATAACGTATTAGTGTAAGGAATATAACCTTAGAGTATAGACAGCGAAAAGACAACTCTGATCTTCAGGCGAAGACTCTAAATCCACAGGGACAACTGACTGGTTGACCACAAGCCTAACTCCTCTAGACTAGCAATCTGGTAGCCATCCGGGATTTTTATCCAAAGCATAGAAAAGTAAAGCAAGCGTAAGTACATATTATACTCAGCAATATAACATGGGGTTCATGAGGCTCAAAAGGTTGACATTGGTTTACTGCGATTAGCTTTTAATAGGTTATCTTTTTAAGCAATTGAGTAGCAACAAATTTATCATAAGCCCATAAACATATGATCAGGTAAACATGAATAATGAATAGCATAAACAATTAACCATTCATGATCATCTCTATTCCATAAGGGTTCCAAGGCCGCTCGTGTCCGTGAGCATGGCTGTTATAACAGTTTTACACTCTGCAGAGGTTGTACACTTTCACTGTGAGTCATGATTTACCCTTTCGCCCGAGGTGATCAGCCTCTTGACCCACTACCAAGGAAGGTCAACAGGGTTCACTATGGAGCCTTTCAAAGGTTCGTCTATCAAGTTAGGGCCGCTAAAGTTTCCCCATCAATAAGCATGAACCCCCTTCTAAGGAGTGACTAACAAAAGTGCACCCCCTTGGCAGGCCAAGATCATACCTATCGGAGCCCCTCT